TACATACTAATACATACATACATACATACATACATACATACATACATACATACATACATACAGACATACAGACATACAGACATACAGACATACAGACAGGGTAACTGCAAAGACTCCCTTTTGTGCTTCGCACACGGGAGTCAAAAATCAGATATCAGTTTTTGGACTTTAATAACTCAACTGTCAATGTCCGAAACCATTGTACTTACTTGAACATATGGCCAAGTCCTTTAAACAGGCCACTTTTCTTCTTTTGTCTGTGTGACTGTTTATTTTTGGGGAGAGCGAGTTGGTTACCAGTAATGGGGTCAGTAACATGTGTCAGGGAGTCAATAGATGATCTTGTTGATCCAGATCTACTTCTTGATTCTGCTTCACTTCCTTCTTCCACTAAGGACATTAAAAACAGCATACAGTAAAAGTCTATGTGAACAGTAAACACAACTGGAAAACATTCAAAACTCTAAACTGGAAAACAGTTTGAACTGACCTCTGAACTGAAAAAAGAGGCCAACTACGTAGCAGAATCTGTCTAGCAATCAGGCCTTTCATTTCAAGTCATAAATGTGGTTTAAGAAGAAATTAAGTTAAACTCTTTTTATGACTATAGATTACACTGCTGGTTACCTTGGATCCACTCTGCTGGTAACCTTGGTAACACTGCTTATAACTTTCATTACACTCTGCTTGTAATGTTGGTTAAACTTCCTGGTAATTTTTTGTTATACACTCATTTTGTAACCTTAGTAACACATACCTGCATCCAGTGTTTGCATCTCTTCATCATCAAATTCATCATCGACATCATCATCATACGACCGATCAACCGCAGCTCGAAAACTCTCATTACAACCTCTGCCCCTAACAACCTTTTGTCTTGGTCTTGGATACAAATTAGTTTCATCTTTAGTCACCTCAGCAACCATTGTTTGTAGACTTTCCAGGGAACTGGATTTCTTCATTCCCAGTGATGGACCAATATCACTGTCGTCACCAGGTGATCCTAGAAGCAACAAGTGAGTTTTTTCAATAAAGTAATTTACACAAGCACAGAAAGGTGTGCGCAGAGTGCAAGACACAAAATTGAGTTATAATATTGAAAATTATTGCTGTTATAAAACAATACCCTGTAAGTACCAGGATGTGTGTGTAACCTTCATCTAAGATTCAACATAAGATTCTTTCAAACTAAAAGTTAAAATAGTTTTTTTGAACTCCTGTGAGGTAAGTGTTCAGTCACACTATGTACTGAGGCTTGTTTCCTTTTTGAAAACAGTCTATGCACAGAAGCCATTATCCAGCAACAGGGTTAGCTGAGCAGGTTTCAATCCAATACAGAATGCAAACAGTGCGAGTTATTAATTACAGTGGAGGTAACAAATTCCAGCAAGCAAACCTTTGAGTGCAGGCAAGGTTACACAAAAAATCCTGTGCGTGTAAAAACAACCCAAACCATGCAATGTCAGGCGACACGGAACGTCACCCAACCCAAAAGTGAGAAGTACAACCACGCAATAAGATTATTGCAATAATATTATGTATTCTATTCTGAGAAAGCAATTTATTCAATAAGATTAAAAGGAAAGGTTCTGAGCTTAATGTATATGGATTACCAGTAAAACAGTTTAAATTGATTTCATTCGAGTGAGAGATGCGTTGTACATGATTCTTTAGTTAAACAGACAGTAAATGTCTGGTAATGAGGCGGGAGTCATGGCAACAAATGCAGATGGAACAATTCCAAATGAAGACAGGGAAACAGGAAGACTGGGGTAGAATCATGGAATACCTGTATTGGACTGTGTGGAATCACAGCTGTCTAATTCTGGAAAAGAAAATGGTACAAAAATATAACAACAAAAGTAAATGAGGAAAAGGTATAAACAAATTTGAATATAATATATTTCCTGTCTTCTCCATCAATAACTCAAGACAAGAGCATATTTTGCAACATCTACAATTTAATACACATAATATTCAATAAAAGAAATTAATTACAAATCTATCTCCAGATATGAACATTTTTGATTAGCCAGACATTAATTTCCAGTTCCAATTTTATTTTCATTTCCCATTGTTGGATGGCACATTGCAAATCAATCTATTATCAGTAGACTAGACAAAAATTGATGTTTTCGATATGTCATAGATGTAATGATTTTAATTTACCATTGTCAACAGGTCTGGATATTTCTTTCTTTTTTTAACACAGGAAAATGTGAGAGCAACCAACATTTGGAAATTTGTTTTCAATATTCACCATATAAATAATGAAGATCCATGTTTAGTGAGTAAAGATTATACTTTCAGAAATGCAATGGACCTAACAGATATAATTACCCATTGCCAACAGGTCTGGCTATAATATGGTATTTTGTGGGACAACCAACATAATTATGTTGTTCAAATAAAATTGTGTGTAATATTGATTGCAATATTAACAAAGAATGGGAACAGGACTAATAAAAAAAGATCTAAAACATGCCAGCTGGTGACAGGGGAATTATTTACTCTAAATTAATTCTTAGTGACTGATATTTTTAATAATCTTACTAGAAAAGTAAATTGACATACATATTTTGTGCTATGTGCTGTCAAAAAAAAAGAGTTCCATTTTAATATAATTTTCAGCTCATAACAATAAGAATACTGTCAATACATGAATGGTGTATGCAAATATTGCTGACAACATTTGAGGGTGAAGGCCCAATATGACACATCTGATTTAATTCATTGCCTGTTACGAAAGCCAGACAAATAAATACTGTAAATCATTTAATTTCCGCTGCTTTGTATTTGGCCGATATAATCAAGGGTATTCGTGCAGATGAACACCGATCGTAATGAAATGTGCACTGCTACAAAAGTTCGCACTTGTCTGACTCATAGAATGTTTGTCTCTTGGGCAAACAAAGCAGATTAAATTATTGCCATGGAAACAAGGTTATTTTTATACAAGGCAACAAGATGAGTTCCATTAAAGACATCATTTTGGTGGGAAAACTTTCAGACTAAGCACAAAAGAGATGTTTTCAGTGATTGAAGAGGTCTACCAATAAGTAGTTGCTAAGGCAACCAGACAATGTGGATGCAATACGAATATGATACACTGTCAGAAAAATGTGTTTCCTAAATTATTTGTAAACTGATTTAGTAATACAATGGAAACTTATTTCCCTTGCCCTAAAATGAGGTATGTCTGACAGTAATAGCAGTAGGTGCTGTAACTATTCTACCTCCACCCCCATTCCTTCTCCCAGTCATAATTCCTAAGAACCACATGAAATGAAATGTGAAAAGCAAATTTTAAACATTGCAATGCCACAAAAATAGTTTTGTTGTTGCTGAATTTCACACAAAGTTTTTGACGTCAATATAATGCTTTGACCTTTGTTTGTTTTGTTTTTACATTTGATTACACCCAGGGATCTCACAGTGAATGTCCTATTGGTGTAGTCACTGTGATTAGATATAGACAATTACACCCATGCAGTAGATGTAGTCAGACATTCAGTTGTAAGGCCATTACATCTGTACAGTCAGTGTATAGTCACTGATATTAGTATCAAGGCAATTACAAGCATACACTATTGATACAGTCTGTTCAGTTGTGGGGTAATTACACCTATATAATCAGTGTACAGTCACCAACATTAGTATTTGGGTGGTTAAACCCCAATTGCCACTGATATTAGTATTAGGGCAATTACACCCGCACATTCACTGTACAGTCATTATAACAATGATTTGTAAGTAGCAATTTCCTGGCTTTCATGTAGTATGCTGTGGTCTTGATAGGAAGTTTTTACTGAATAGTACTTCACTGCTAGCTAAGCATTCGTATCAAGGAGAGTTTTCAAATGTCATATTGCCATATAATATATAAAATAATGCCCTATTATTATATATTTGCTATATTCACATAAATATGTGAAAGCTATCAGAGCAGTATTATGCACTTTCAGAAGAACCCCAATATTCAGGAGACAAGGAATAATATGGAAACATTACTCAACATAAAATAAATGAAAATGCATCATTAGATGAAAGTGAAATTATCAACTGTTAATCAAGAAACACAAACTACTAATTAACAACAAAATTATAACACTTTGAAGCCTGTTATTGGAGATAAAGACATATCTGACACAAATACTGTACTATTTCATGGCTCTAAAAACAGCAATTTCAGTTCATGGCAGAGTGGATATTACAAACAATAAAACATAATAGTGGTTTGTGACAGTAACATTGTCACATGACCTCTAGCAGAAAAAAACACTAATAATTCTATTGAAATGGACGAGTGAATTGCAACACAGTGACTGGCGACAGCTGACATATTCATCGTCACATAATAATCACAAACAAGCCACGACTGAGCAAAGTACATTAGAAAAACACACTTGTTGTTTTCACGGACAA